CCCCTGGCCCGGGACCGGCTAAGGTGGCTTGGCCGAGGGGCGGGCTTCGCTGGCCCTGACCCTGTGACTAAGGGGGTCGCCAGTGATGCTTGGCAGCGGCCTGGGGAAGGTCAGTCAGCGAGACGTCGGAGGTGGGGAAGACCCAGGGTGTGGCCCCGAGCTGCATATCTGCCTGCAGCCTCTGTTCATCCAGGTCCCTGACTCTCCTCCCCTTGGTGGCCAGGCACCTCGGCTCCAGATCCATCCGTGTCTCACCCAGTGACCCAGATGCGGTTTGTAAGAACATTAACTTCTAAAAACTTTACCTGTTAAGTAATTTAAATTACAAGAACTGTATTTAAAGTATAAGCTTTCCCCCCATGCAGTAGCTTATAAGAATTTGTTCCCCTTTGTGTTGACATTCTGTGTGTAAAATGATCAGATTTTATATGCATGGAACTAACGTTCATTGAAATGTTGCTAATTACACCTTGCTTCCAAACTTGTTTTAAAACGAACAACAGTATAAAAAAAACAAACCCTGAAGTATTGCAGTAATATTGCTAGCCTTCACCTTTTCACAATTGTAAGAAAAGTGTTAAAAGTGAAGGTGGGAGAGGAAGAGTTCAGCTGGTGATATCAAGTCTTGCCAGAGAGGAGCAGTTCGCAGTTTAACATTGTTAGTGAAATCAATGAAATTTCAAGTTTTCATTATAAAGCATAGCTTTTCTCCTATCTGTAAATTGCTGCAGGAAGAATTACTGAATGCACATCTTATAACACAAATTTGTGTTGTATCTTATAGTGTATAAAAGTAGTATGACTCTAGTTGTTGGAAAATGAGTTTAACTTTAAAAAATGCATTCTATACTTATGCACAGTGGAAGATTCTAAATTTCAGTGGTATTTTTTTCATATATATTGAAAGGTAAGTATATGCTCTGTTGAAAATGTAATGACTGCGTACACATCATCTCAGGATGGGATGCAGAGATAAAGTTTCTTGAAACTTAAAAGACTGCTTCTTGGAGCAGCTGGTTTTGGAACCCATAAGAGTAGAGGCAATTCTTGATTTAGTCCTAAGTGGAGCACAGGATCTGGTCCAAAAGGTGAATCTAACTGGACCTCTTGGAAATAGTGACCTGCAATATAATTAAATTTAACATTCCTGTGGTAGAATAAACATTATAGCAGTCCAACAGTGTGGCATTTAATTTCAGAAATCAGAACAACACAAAAATGAGAAGATTAGTTAAACAGAAAATAAAAGGTAAAGTACTAAAAGTGAAATCCCTGCAAGCTGCATGGAAACTCTTCAAAGACACCATAATACTCCACTTAAATATATAATGCAAATTAAAAAAAACATTGTATGAGAATAAAAGAAGTGACACTGGCTTAAAAATCAAGTAAAAGATGCTGTGGGAAATAAAAAAGGCATTGTTTTAAAAAGTGGAAAGTTAAATCCTAGTGAGGAAATTAAGAGCATAAGCTCTGTCAAATGAACTGTAAAAATATAATTAGGAAGCCAAAAAGGAATTTGAAAAACAGCTGGCCAAAAACTCAAAAAGTAGCAAAAAAACTGTAAATACATCAGAAGCAGGAAGCCTGCTAAACAACCAATGGGTGCCACTGGAGGATCAAGATGCTAACGGACCATTCAAGACAATAAGTTAATTGAGGAGAAAATAAATGAATTATTTGCATCAGTCTTCACAGCTGAGGATGTGACGAAGATTCCCAAACCTGAGCCATTCTTTTATGTGACAAATCTGAGGAATTGTCCCAGATTCAGGTGTCATTAGAAGAGGTTCTTGAACAAACTGATAAACTAAACAGTAACAAGTCACCAGAACCATATGGCATTCATCCATGAGTTCTGAAAGAATTCAAATGTGAAATTGCAGAATTACTAAGTGTGGTTTGTAACCTACACTTTAAATAATCTTCTGTACCAAATTAGTGGAGGATACCTAATCTTATGCAAGTTTTTAAACGGTGCTCTAGAGGTGATTCTGGCAATTGCGGGTCAGTAAGTCTAACTTTAGTAGTTGGGAGACTGGTTGAAAATATACAAAAGAACAGAATTGTCAAACACACAGATGAATATAATTTGTTGGGGAACAGTCAGAATGGTTTCTGTAAAAGAGAAATCATGCCTCACTAATCTACTACAGTTCTTTGAGGGGGTCAGCAAGCATGTAGACAAAGGGGATCCAGAAGATTTAGGTTTCCAGAAAGCCCATAACAATGTCCCTCACCAAAGGCTCTTACGCAAAGTAAGCTGTCCTTTAGAAGGTCCTCTTATGAATTGGTAACTGATTAAAAGGTAGGAATAAATAGTCAGGAGAGAGGTAACTAGTAGTGTCCCTGAGAGATCTATATTGGGAACTATCGTATTCAAGATTTTCGTAAACTGGCTGGGAATAGGGGTAAACAGTGAGGGAACAAAATTTACAAGTAATACAAAACTTCTCAGGATAGTTAAATCCAAAGCATACTGTGAAGAGCTTCGAAAGGATCTCAAAAATTAGGTGACTGGGCAACAAAATGGCAAATGAATTTTAATGTTGATATATGCAGAGTAATGCATATAGGAAAACATCCCAACTATACATATAAAATGTGGGGACTAAATTAGCATTTACCATTCAATAAATATCTTAGTCATTGTGGATAGTTCTCTGAAAACAGCTATTTGATGTTGTGATGGGGCCCCGAGAGCCCGCACTGGACCCCAGGGGGTAAATGCCCTGTTGGCGCTGCCAGGGAGTCCTTACCGGCCGTGCGCCGGATGCACTGGTGCTGCGGCCCTGCTGAGGAGCGTGGGCCTGGTGGCAGAGAAGGGGGAGGAGTCAACCCCGTGTCACGTTGGCGTGGGGTCAGGGCTACGCTGGTGACGTCAGGGTGACATCCGGCCTAACGTCCTGGGCAGCGGGAGATTTAAAAGCCTCCTGGGCAGAGAGAGGGGAGGAATGCAAGGAGCGCTGAGGCAGGCGGGGCTGGCGAGAGACGCCGACCCAGGCGAGGGTGGGGGGCGCCAGGCGAAGCTCCGCAGGGAGCAATGGGAGCCGGAAGGGCTCGCCTTGGCAGGGGGGTGATCTGCACTGGAGGAGGAGGAGAGAGGAAGTAGCCCAGGGCAGGGCGGTGAACTTAGCCCATGGGCTGACGAGTTTAGGAGAGTGGCCCCGTCAGCCGGAGTTGGACCGCAGCATGGTCCAAGTCATTAGGGCCCTGGGCTGGGGCCCACAAGTGAGGGTGGGCCCAGGCCCCCCTCTCTCCTCTGCCTCGTGTGGAGGAGAGACTCAGCGAGACAACAGTCAAAGATTATTGACGCCACCAGCTGCCGAGGAGCTAGTCGGCTGGGCATAAGAGGGCGGGACGCCCATAACTGTGAGGGGCTGGGGACCCAGGACATCAGGTCCACCCCAGGTGCACGGTCACAGATGTGCAGTAGCAGTCAAAAAAAGCAAACAATGTTAGGAATAATTAAAAAGGGGATAGACAGAGAATATCTTTTTGCTTCTATATCAGTGGTTCTCAAAGTGCTGTCTGCAGACCCCAAGTGGTCTGCAGCCTCCTCCCATGTGGTCCCTGGCTTGAACGCAGCCCCCCCACCTCTCCTTCCCAGTTGGGGACAGAACATCGACCCCTTTAGCATCTCATTTGGGAACTGAGATCAGTGTCACCCAACAGTTTTTCCCTGCCAGTTTTTCCCTGCCTGTTTAGGATCTCTGCCTAAACAACTCCCCTAACTCACCCCAGGGCCAGTTGCTTCTCTTCACCAAGTGAGAGATCCCTGTATAATCAGCCCTAGGGTCAATGTTGCACAGTCCCTGGCTGTCTCATAGCCTGTGAAGTGAGAGTTCCGCTATGGGGGGATGTTGGGAGCCAACATCCCTTGCAAGGTAAATGGACAGTCATGGGAGTGGGGAGCCCAGGAGTTACTCACTGGCCAGGAGGGAGCTGAGCTCCCTCCCCCTTCCCGCTTCGCTGGGAGAAGGGCAGGCAGTGACGTGCTGTCCATAGGCTTTTCCTGCTGCAATGGGGCATGAACCCCACTTCCCGCCCCAGATCCTGCACCCTCATCCCTATTCCACTCACTAGTAGCCCTGCCCTGCACACTGAACCCTTCATTTTTGTCCGCACCCCAGCTTAATGGGCTCCACAAACTCCACTAAATTCGGCACCCCAGAAAAATAAATCTGGCCTTTCGGAAACCCTGAACCTCAGACTTTTCTGTCCTTTCTCCTCACCTCATAGGGCTGGAGCACCAGAGAAGTGAGGTGTCATGACTGGTGTGGAGAAAGAAGATCAGGAAAAGTTATTTACTCCTCATACACAAGAATTAGGAATCACCAAATGAAATTAATACATAACAGGTTTAAAACAAATACAAGGAAGTATTTCTTCACACAACACACAGTCAGCCTGTGGAACTCCTTGTCAGAGAATGTTGTGAAGGTCATTAATAGGGTGCAAAAAAGGGCTATATACACATTCATGGAAGACCGATCCATCAATGACTATTAGCCAGGATTGGCAGGGGTGGTGGCCCTAGCCTCTGTTTGTCAGAAGCTGGGAATGGGTGATGGGATGTATCATTTGGGCTATGTCTAGACTGCAAGCCTCTTTCGAATGAGGCTTTTTCGAAAGATAATTTTGAAAAAGCCTCTTTTGAAAAAGAGCGTCTAGACTACAACCAGTACTTTCGAAAAAGCAAGATGCTTTTTCAAAAGAGCACCCAGGCAGCCTGGAGGCTCTCTTTCAAAAACGCACAGTTTGCATTACATAGCGCCTTTTTTGGAAAGAGCACTTTCGAAAAAAGGCGTTATTCCTCATAAAACGAGGTTTTCCGTGGTCAAAAAAACTGCCACGTTCTTTCGATTTACTTTTGAAAGAATGTGGCAGTAGTCTAGGCACAGGGAACATTTTTTCGAAAAAACTCTATAGTCTAGACACACACCATTGCTGATTACCTGTTTTGTTCATTCCCTTTATGGCATGTTGCATTGGCCACTCTTGGAAGACTGTAAGGATACTAGGCTAGATACACCTTTGGTTTGACCTTGTATGGCAATTTTTCTGTTCAATAATAATAAACAATTACATGTGTTGCATTTCTGAATTCTATGAAAAGGTTTACTTGGGGATAGACAAAATGAGAATCGTATCACTATATGGACTTAAAATGGAGTTGTCCTAAATTCAAGTCCATCTGTTTAAAATAAAACACTCCAGTATATTTATATAGTTTATTTCTATATTTAACTTCTATTAACATCTTTAGTTGCTGCTTATATTCCTAATAAGCAATCAGTGAAAAAAATCAATATAGGCTTTTCAAGCCTGCAAACACAAAAAACACATTAAAAACAAATGCAGTTTAAAAGAAATCAGTATCTATATCCACATTTAAAAAAATCAAAATCATTAGTATGTTGTCTATTTTGTATGTATTATACAATCTGACAAGTTATTAGATTCATTTTTAATAAGACTTTTGTAGTACTGTCTACTCCTAGCTGGGAACAAGAGCATGGCAGGGAGAGTGGGATGTTGATATGTTCAGGTTTCATCAGTTAGGGTGTGTCTAGAATACAGGTTTATTTAAAAAAAAAAAGTAGCCTTTTTTCGAAAAAATTTCCCCTGCATCTAGACTGCTGCCGCGTTCTTTCAAAAGTAAATTGAAAGAATGCAGCAGTTTTTTCGACCACAGAAAACCTCGTTTTATGAGGAATAATGCCTTTTTTCGGAAGTGCCCTTTCGAAAAAAGGTGCTATGTAATGCAAACTGTGCTTTTTCAGAAGAGAGCATCCAGACTCCCTGTGTGCTTTCTTTCATTTTGAAAGCACTGGTTGTAGTCTAGATGTTCTTTTTCGAAAGAGGCTTTTTCAAAAGTATCTTTCGAAAAAGCCTCTTTGGAAAGAGGCTTGCAGTTTAGATGAAGCCCTTGTTAATGTGAAAATGTAGCATATCCTGTCAACACAAGGGCTTTAAAAACACCTTATTTTTCTAATCTAGACAAGACTTATTTGGGGCCATGTCTGAACTAGAAGTATGTATTGCTTTAAAATGTGGTAGCTACTTTGAAGAAGAGCTCTGTGTGAGGTCAAAAACATGTCTATCTCACCAACAGAAATTGGTACAGTAAAAGATATTACCTTGCCCTACCTTGTCCTAGTGCACTTGAAATGCTACAGCAGTGGAGTTGTCCTTTAGTGGCACTGTAGTGTAAATAATACCTACACCAGTTGGCGGGGTTGTATTCTCAGAATAGGTAATCTACCTTCCTGCGAGGCGGTAGCTAGGTTGACTGAATAATTCTTCTATCTACCTACCTCTGTCTACAGTGGGGATTAGGTCAGCTTAATTTTGTAGTTCAGGGGTGTGGATTTTTAACGCCGTTGGGCAAGGTAAATGGGTCAGCCTAACTTTTTAGCATAGAGCAGGGTCAGACCTTAGTTACCCTAAGTTAATTGATATGTTTTAAATAGCACTTAGTGCCTACCATAGACACAGTGGTAATTAAAGATGTGTTTTAGCTATAAGCAGTTAGCATGTTTTTAGAGGTGTTAAACTATTTATACACTAGATACAAAATTATATTTTAAAATATTAGCTCACGTGTTTTCATACATGACCTGTTTAATTGGTTAACTGATTAATTGGGATTTTACATCCCTAGTGGTCACTCTGCATCATAGCTGTCCCCATGCTTGCTTCTCCCAATGGTGGCTGGGCTCTATTGCATCCCTCCAATCAATTCCCTCCCTTTCCATGTTATGGGAAACAGCTGATATCCAGGCATTTCCCCTTTTCCTACCACAGCCAAACCCTGACCTTGCTTTAAGTTAGGATAAGAAGAAGCGGCATACCAAATAATTCAGTAGTCCTAGCTCTTACCATTTATGGGGGAGTTCTTAAACAAATGAACTCCCAGGCCTCTGATAGATAGATAGATAGATAGATAGATAAAATATTGTAGTCTAGAAAGGACCCTGAAAAATAGGGGATGTTTTAAAAAGCATGGTACAACGCTTTTAAAAAAAAAATTTAGCACCTCACATAGTTATGCTGTCGGTGCTATGTATAGTTTTAAAATGTGTTAATTTAACACGTTAGCTAACTTTCCTGGTCTATAGCTTGCTAACACCCATAGCTCAAAATGTTAAACAGATTATAAAGTAACTTTTCAAATACATGTTACAGTAAAGTTTTAAGTTTTGTTTTAATGGCCATGAGAACAGTAGCCTATTCAATAACTAGCTGGTTAAGCATGGGGATCTGTAACTTAGGAAACACAACAATTGATTCTGTTACTTCCTACAAGAACACTAAAAAGAAACATAAAGCAGGGACAAGATGATAGAATAAGGTGTCTCTCCTGAAAACCAAAGCATTTATGAGGAAAACCACAGGCTATTCATGCAAATTAAATCTAAAAGGTTAAAAAAAAATCTTTTTCTATTAGGAAAGAATAAACATCTTTAGACATTCTAACAACTTAGGAAATACTGTTTCATAATGCTTGACTGAGTTGAAAAGTAATGTTTTCTGATTAAGAAAAGAAATGTGCAGCCTACAAAAACATTTTATAATTAACAATCTTGAATCAATATTGTTAGACTTTAGCCACATCTTCCTTGACAGAATTATACTAAAGTACAAGTGCTTGTTAATTCTCTTTCATATAATTTTCAGTTTTATTTTAGGGCAATTGATCTTCTAAAATTGACATGCGTTATGACCAGAGCTGGAAGCACATGTCATGGTGACAGGGCTAGTTGTACTTCTTTCTCCTTTCTGGTCTCGCAGTACACCTCATTTGTAAAGGTTGAAAGTTTTAGGGTGGAATTCTGCAATTTTCTCAGTTAGACCAGGTCCTATTCTAAAAAACTGAGAGTATCAATCATGTTGACTTGAGATGCCTGTAGTTCTTCCTATCACAAGTCTGTGACCAGTCATATCCAGTGACAAAACAGACCGCTTCTAGCTGAAATATAGTTTATTAACCATACAAATCATTTAAAGAAAATTGATTTTTAAAATTGCACACCTTAATCTTACATGAAAAGTAACCAGCCCCGGTAGTAACCTGTACATGACTAACTTCTTCATATTCCTTCCACCACTTCCGCTCCCCAGTGCTTCTTTTCTAATTTGTTTCCCCACCCATGTTGAGAATCCCTTTTTACACTGCTACATCTTTTTTGATCTCTGCTGCGTGAAGGCCTTTTCCTTTGTCTTTCCTCTCAACAACCCTCAAATGTTTGTAGAGAAGTGGCTTATCTTAATCCTTTCTATTTCTTTCTTGCTTGTTGCTCTTTACAATCCCTTATTTGATTGAACCAAACTATTTTTAAAGTAAGCCTTCCAATAATGCTGACAGCATAGGGTATTCAAAAAATTACTGAGTAGCTGCACATCTGTCAATATTAATTATAATTAGGGATGTGAAATATTAACCAGTAAGCATCACTCTTAACTGGAACCTATAGGAATTTCCTGTTATCCTGTAGGAGCTGAACCAGCTCCCCATCTGCTGGAGGCAGAGGGTTGCTGCAGGCCCAATGTGATCAGGGGCTGCTCCGGGCAGCAGCCCCCGCCTAGCAGGAGCTGGGAGCGAGAGCCCTGAGATCCCACTTGATTAGTTAACCAGTTAAATACTAGGTTAACCTAAAGCTTAAGCAGTTAACTGATTAACTGGTATTTTACATCCCTAAACATTGACCTAGACTTTCCATTGTAAGAGCCTGTTTTCAGTGGCTTGCTTATAACTTGTTCCAAACTTTTAACCATTTGAACTGAAATGTTCCATGCTGAGTGTCTCTGCCTCTGGCTTTTTTTTTTTAATACAAAATTCAGTTAAAACGGTTCAACCATTTTTTTACAATTTGTTTTTCCCTACCTTCATTCTAACTTTTTTTTTTTTCCTGGGCAAAACAACTCTTTTATTGAGGAGTTCTAGAGCCTTCATGTTTTGGAGTAGGGTCTTGAAATATTTTGAGAGCAGGAGGTCACCCTTGTATCAGGGATGTGCCTTTTGCCATCCCATGAAAATTTGGCCTACTTACTGAAAAAAAATGAAGTTTGCACAAACTCAGAGTCTTGTTAGAGTTTGGCTGTGAAATCCTCCAAAGATTCCAGATTGACTTAGAACAAGCCTAAATATCACAAAATGCCCATGAAAGGCAAAAAATATAAGCGGGGCATAGAGTTGGAATTCCTGTGCCATTATGCTGGGGTGAGGGTTTGTAAAAGAAATCCCATTGGATACAGTTTTTTAAAAAAAGGGGTAAGGGGAAGCCCATGAGACAAGTGGAAAAACTGCACTCTGTGCCAGTCTACAACTGTCAGCCCAACTCCTCAAAGAGCAAAAAAGAATACTTGGCAGCCTGTGCTGAGCTGCAGGGTCCAAACAGAATTTTCCTTGTAGTTGGTTTTCTTAACTGTTTGTAGATGCTGAGGTGCCATGTACAGGAGCAGAGGGCCCCACTGTCTGTGCAGTCTCAATTTGGCTCCCTTACACATTTGTTATGGTACAGTTTGTGAATACATGACCATATACTATTTTTTCTAGACTTCCATCTCATTTAGCAAACTAATCGTGTTTTTTTTTAATGAGTATAAGAAGAAAAGTACATAAAATTAAGTTACCTGTGGTTGACAGATATCTATACAATTGCATATATAAGAAGTACTTAGGGGTCATTTCTGTATTTTAATACTATCAATAAAAATATTGCTTTACAAATTTACAAAGTTTTATACAAATAAAAGTAAAGAAACTGAAATCAAGTTCTGACATTTGAACAAGGTTTTGGTTTTTTTTTTTTTTTCAATTACTGAATAAATCTTCAGTTATTCTCTAAATACTTTCAAAAAGTGCAAAGGCAGAACTAAATTGCAATCTTTTACAATGTCCAAAAGAATCACATTTTTATCACAGAATTCAAAAACTAAGTTGATCCTCTCCTGTTTTACCAATGTTTCTGATTTCAAGATAGATAGCTCTTTGGCCAGGACCTTTCTTTACTTTTGTGTATTGTGCAGCATCACACATTGTGTCAACAGTAATTATCAATCTGTTACTAATTGCTGTTTTAACATTATAATAGGTTAAAAGTCCTTGGAAAAGAATGGGTTATGATATTGAGCGTTTTGTTGGCTATGTTAATGAAGGACTTCTTTGCTGTATATGTCGAGATGTATTAGAAGATCCCTTACAGGCTCCTTGTGAACATGCTTTCTGTACTGCCTGTATACATGGATGGCTTGTTCATCACAGTAACTGCCCAGAAGACAGACAAGTACTTGATATGTCTGTGCTACGACCTCTCTACAGGTATGTAACATCTGATTGTTGAAGGGATTTTTCTAAAGCCTGATTTAGTTCAGTATAACTGTCATTCAGGGTGTGAAAAATCCCAGCTTTAGGCCTCCCAGTTGACAGTGCTACATCGACCAAAGAATTCTGCATTTTTGGGAGGTAATCCCATCAGTTTAGATAGTGCCCACAACTGAAGCACTACAGCAACATTGCTGTGCCACTAACATATCAAGTGTACACAAACCTCTAGTTAGTGCTAAAATCTGTTAGGCTATTGAGAAGTCTCCAAACTTCTTCATAAACTAATTTGCATGTTTCATTTTGAACCTTAATATTCCATCATCATAGCTTTTACCACTCCCAACCCGCTCTGATCAAATGTAGTTACTTGAATTCTGAAATATTTTGAATAGAGCATTTGACTTTTTCCGTTGTGGAAGGTAGAATCCCTGAAACATGGCAAAAGCCAACTATTTTTACAGTGTTTCAGGGGTTAAAAAAGAAGAAACAAATTACCTCTTTTCTGTATGTAGATACATGAAAAATGATCTAAATCGACTTCAGCTTCATTGCAAAAACAGCGAGCATGGTTGTGAAATGGTTTGTTCTCTAGAATCTATAGACAGACATGAGAGAGAATGTGAATACGGCCAGATATCCTGCTCTAATGCTGGTGAGTAAAGCTCAGTCAGAGTTGAGCCTTTTGTTGATATGTCATACTTAGCACAGTAGGCTGGCTGGACATTGATTCACTTCTACAATGTGAATTTGAGTTCTAGACCATATTCTTGCTATAGACCAAAAAGACTGAAGGTAGATTTCTGTCGGTAAGGAGGGAGGTACTTTTGCTTGCACATTCCTACACAGACATGGCCTCTGCAATATGGTTGCTTCAGTTTAACAAACAAAACAAAAAAGAGCCACACAAAAATTCAAAAGATAATAGCATGATCCTTGGTGGAGAGTTTGCAGAAAATGTGTAGACAATAGATTTGCTCTCTGTTGTAATGATAATCATCATTCATCACCAGTTTTTTCTTTTCGTGTAAAAAAAATTAACCAGAATTGATTTTAATATTGGATCCCTAATTTACAGAATAAACAGCAGTGGATAGTGTTTGCTTTGCCAACATATGATTTTTGTCTAATATTCAGCTTTGATTATACATCTGATTGTGGGTTTTTTGCATGTGATGATTGAATCAGCTTTTTGGCCAAAATAGTTAATTTGCATTTAATTTTAATGGTTCAAAGAATGTCAGGCAAAATGGCCGGCCCTCACGCATGTTCACTTCATCAAATCTGGCCCTCTTTGAAAAAAGTTTGGACACCGCTGTGCTAGACCAAAAAGACTGAAGGTAGATTTCTGTCGGTAAGGAGGGAGGTACTTTTGCTTGCACATTCCTACACAGACATGGCCTCTGCAATATGGTTGCTTCAGTTTAACAAACAAAACAAAAAAGAGCCACACAAAAATTCAAAAGATAATAGCATGATCCTTGGTGGAGAGTTTGCAGAAAATGTGTAGACAATAGATTTGCTCTCTGTTGTAATGATAATCATCATTCATCACCAGTTTTTTCTTTTCGTGTAAAAAAAATTAACCAGAATTGATTTTAATATTGGATCCCTAATTTACAGAATAAACAGCAGTGGATAGTGTTTGCTTTGCCAACATATGATTTTTGTCTAATATTCAGCTTTGATTATACATCTGATTGTGGGTTTTTTGCATGTGATGATTGAATCAGCTTTTTGGCCAGTTGAGCATTTATTCTATTACTAGAAAACTTACCTCGGGTTGCTTGGGTCCCTCAGGGTAGGGGTCTGGCAGTGTGGGGGCTTCTGAAGTCAAGGCAAGGGCTTGGGAGATGTGGGTGATTTAAAGTGGGGATCGGGGGATATAGGGACATAGGAGTCAGAGCAGGGGGTGAGGAGAGGCTCAGGGCAGAGGTTGGGGGGGTGTAGGAGTCAGGGCAGAGGAATAGGAGGTGGCGGAGCTCAGGGCAGTGGATGGGGTACTCAGGCAGGGCATGGAGATGGTTTCTTTGCGTGGCTGGCCCAGGTGGGGCCCAGTGGGGGGGTGTAGGAGTCAGGGCAGAGGAATAGGAGGTGGCGGAGCTCAGGGCAGTGGATGGGGTACTCAGGCAGGGCATGGAGATGGTTTCTTTGCGTGGCTGGCCCAGGTGGGGCATACACCCACTTGCTGGCTTCTTCCTGAAATGGGGGGGGGGGGGGCACCCTGCCCCCCCC